ATAATTTTCGTAATAAGCATATCCAACCCATGTAGCATCCTAGCAATCTTCAACTTTTTGCATTCCAAAAAATTAAATTTTCGGTTGAGTTTTCCTCTATACTTTCATTCGATTACATCTAATTTAGTAGAGCAAAAGTTAGGGATAAGCCAAGCTTTGTACTTTTTAGAAGAAGACTTTTTCTTTCAAAAGATGTAAAATATCTTGCTGAAATTTTTATTGTTTTACTTGCTCTTACTTTTTAATTTTGAAATACGGCTTAGTTCTTCTCCTTCTATAATATGCCTTTTTGACATTGTCGCAGTAAGTGTATGGAAGTATAAAAATGAGTTATACCATACCTGAACGATGGTGCAACTGATGTCAACGAGATCTTCATTCGTTCATTTACGATAATTCCACTGACAAGGAAATTAACAATCCACTCATACAGACCGTTCACTCGATAACGGAACAGTTCTGGTTTGAACTCTGCATCTCCTACCGGCATGTAGCTAGGCGGGGTTAATGCCCAGTTTCTAAAAGTAAAGCCATAACTTTCAAGCAAGGGAGTAAATAATCTTACGAACATTCCATAAGCTCGCATGGAGCCAGTGGATGAATCCACATGAGTTGAGTCAATTATCACATGCTTAGCCTAGAATTATGAATTTGTATGGAAAATAATAATATAAATAGGAAGTATGTCTCATGGAAAGCTCCCTTGTAAGCTACAGCTAAAATTTTTTGCATTGTAGCACCTGCAGAGGTACGGTATTCCTGGCTCACTACGATCAGGCAAGTTTTCATGCAAATTTTGTGTACCTGGTTTTCTCAATCACAAAAATGATTTTGGTGAATCTTGCTAGTACGGTAACAGGCTTGTTCTCAAATATGAAAGTTTTTAGACTAAAGGTAGAATTAATTACTCATCATGTTGACTTTCATTACTTGTTGTCGAAATACGATGAATGTGCGAAATACATGGGAATAAAGTGTGCATTATCTGAAGAAGAAACCTCCCAATAAAAAAATATAGATATCAGATACTTTTAAAATCCACAAATAACTTAAAGTAATTAGCGTATCCAAGAGAGAAGGGAGGGGAGTGATGCTACTCAATAGGCGCTTCCGTATGCCTGCAAAAAGACCAGCAAGACGAAAATCTCAAAGAGTGTTAAACGCTCACAATCCCATGAAAAGGAAAAGACATCTACTACTGTATTTCTACAGTACTAAACAACATTCCAAATCAAATTCATTTATGTCATTCTTACCTTATTTAGCGAAGTAAAACCATAGGCACACACAGCGAATAAGCTGTCAGTGAAGATGAGATCAAAGTGTTCATTAGCCAATTTCTCAAAAAAGTTACGATGCTCGTCGATTACAATGTCGCAACTTTTGCATCCATAGAAGAACGGAAACGTCTGGAATAAAAAGTGTGGCAAAGGCCACAAATTATTTCAATTCAATCTCACCATTGCACTAGCGCTAAAGTCATCTTTCCACTGGAATGATTCAAATTCGTCGGTGGCAAAGGGGTTTGAGTGATCTAAAGAACCTAATTAGAACGCCCAAAGTTAACTTCAAACTTACTGGTTATCCGCAACATGCGATCCCTAAGCCCAAAGTCTTTTTCCTCAGGATAAGCTTCCATATAAAGCCAAATTTCATGTCCTTGTTTTTT